AGAGCCTGAGGGAAATATAAATGGTTAGGTAGCAGGCATTTACTGGGCCTGGAGGACACCGGGATCATAGGCAATCTCTCCCTTCAGGAACCTACAGCCAAGCCAGGGATGTGCAGTGCACACCTCTAATCAGACACCCACCAGTATGTGCCACACAGTGCTGTAGCCAGGCCAGGGGCAGTCTCTGTCACTTGGAGTCGGAGAAAGGTTTACGGAGAAAGGGTCAAATTGGTGGGGACTGCGATCAGGGAGCCAAGCCAGGTCATGGGGGTCTTTGAATGCCGTGCTCGGATGCTGGGACCTGACCCTGGGCCATGGGGAGCCAGCAGGGGACTTTATGTAGAGAAGGACATCATTAGATTCGCAAAGGAGTTCCCTTGAGCCACTCTGTGAAGGACGAGTGGGGGGAGGCCAAGCCCAGGAGTCAGGATTGTAACAGTTCTGACAGAGGAGATGGGGCCTGAGCTCAGACAGTGCCGGGGAGAACGTGGGGAGAGAGACTGACTTATGGGACAGTTCTGAGTGAGATTTGCAGGATCTGGGGCCAGGCAGAGTGCGAGGGGCCAGGGAGAGAAAGAGCAGAAGACCTTCTCTCTAGCAGATCGACCCTGTAATAACTCCTAAAAGGACACACATGAGATGCTGTTTCAGCACTGAGTTGAAAGAGCAGGAGCCACTTCCGTGAGCTTAGAAGACTGTTGCTGGTTGGGGGGAGGAGGCTGCAGAAAAGTTCTGAACAGACCTTACAGCACTGGGTTAGAGCAGTGATTCTCAAAGTGTGGCTCCAGATCAGTAGCAGCGGCATCACCTGGGAACTTGTCAGAAATGCAAATTCTCAGGCCCCATCCAAAACCTGCTGAATCAGACACTGGGGTGGGTCTAGCAGTCTGTGTTTTCACAAACCTCCAGGTGACTGATGCAGGCTCGAATTTGAAAACCATGAATTAGATGAAAGAAAAGGGGAGGGGCATCCCACCCAAGGTGGGCGGAGGTGTTGGGGCTGGTCCGGAGAGCTGGGAGTCAGGAGAGGGGTGCTGGGGACTAGGTCCTACTGATAACGTTTGGGGGAAGATTATTTAAAAGCCCTCTCCAGTCGCCCCACCTGCCTGAAAGAACAATTACCCAGCACTTAACGTATGGTAGGGACTCGATACAATTTTTTTTTATTCTATCTGAGAAGGTAGAATTAAAAAAAAAATTCTCAGTGGGAACTGAGAAGAGAAGATGTCAGGAAGGAGGGCTCAGGAAAGGAAGGAGGCCGGTCACGAGTGCAGTTGTTTACAAGTTAACTTGGGGCAGGGAGGCCTTCGGGGAAGGCTGGGGTGAGAGAGTGGGGTAGGGACACTCTTACATCTGAAGTGGTTCCCACTGTTCCCCCCACCCTAGACTCACTGTGTCTTTGGTGAGCAGAAAGTGAAGGGGTCTCCAATGGGCTATACCTTTCCTGGGGCCCGAATTCAGCTTAGATAGTTGAGGAAGCTGGGCATTCTTGACCTCTCCCCCAGATGGTGGTCACCATTTCTTCCCTCCCCCACGATCCTGGGGTCTGTGCAAACAGACAGCCACCTCCTCCCTCCAGCTGCCTGCACTGCCCCAACCCAGCCCCAGGGCTCAGCTCAATGCAGGAGGCTATGGGTTTCCAGCTGCTGCTTGCTTCCGTGCCTTGGGCTTCCGCTGCTGCCACCCCAGAGAGCTGCCCTTTGATTCCCACATCCTCAGCCTCCTCAGAGGCGCTCTGCCCTAGTACAGTACAGCCCCGGGGGTGAGGCTGGGAGGTACTTGCTGGTCCCCAAGGTCCCGGCGCCTCTCTCAATCTCTCTCTCTCTCTCCCCGCCCTTGCTGTTGCTTTGCTCACATCCATTTCTGTATCTATGCCTCCCCAGGCTGACACCCTTATCTTCAAGTCCCTGGGTCTGTGTCTCTCTTCCTCTGTGCCTCATATGCCAGGGGGCAATTCTGGCTGCCCCGGTTTTTGGGGATTGCCCGTGCCTCTTCTCCTTCCTCCTCTCTCTTCATTCCCTCTGCCACCAAGCCCTAGTTCCTTTTCTTGCCTGTGAACAGGCATCCATGCCTCTGGCAGGAGTGCTGGCTTTCAACAAGCTTTGATCTGAGGCGAGCCTGCAGAGGGTGCATGGGAGGGGGGGCTGCAGGGTGGACAAAGGGAAAAGGACAGATTCGGAGAAACACACAGAGGCCCCAAGGAAAGCAGAAGGTAGGGAGAAACCCAGAGCAGCTCATTAAAACAGCAGCCACACTCCGCACAATCCGTGATCACACACAAGGCCCAGGAGAGTTCAAACAAGGTGGAGGCAGAGGGAAAGAGACGAAGAAATTCTGACAGGCAAGCCCCCTGCATAAGAGCGCAGTCGCGCAAAAGAGAGAACAAGGGAGCGATGAGACCGAAATGGCAACACGCCCCCCACACCCAGAGCCCTTGAGCTTCCTGCTGCCCTCGCCCTGGCCCCCTGAGATGGGATGAGGAGCGAGGCTGGGGAGAGGAAGAGGGCGCAGCCCCACCACAGTGGCGGTCTGTGGTCCCACGGGCGCTTTTATCTTCCCCCCGTGGCTCCCAGGCAGCCCCCTCGCGCCCAGCCACGGGATGTGCCCTGACCACACGCGCCCTCTCCGTGCTTACTGGCTTCGTACAACTTCCTAGATGCCACGACCCCTCTGAGGGACCCTGTGGTTCGGGAGCTGCAACCTCCGCCATCCTCTCCTTGGCCTCAGACGCCCACAGTGGGGAGAGACGTGCCCTCCCTCCTTCCCTCACCCCCGCCCAAGGGAGCAGAGCTCCACCTGAGGCCCTCACCAACCCGGGCCTGCGTCTGCTTCCTCCCAGCACCCAGCCTCATCGAGGTTATTTCATTCAGCGAACACTTATTCAGTGTCTAAAGCTTCAGTAAACACCTATTCGGCGTCTAAACCGCGCAAGGCCCTTGGTCTACCCAACTCCCTTGCGGCCACCTCACAGCCATGGCGGGGATGGAGGCCTAAGGTACTGAGAGGCTGCTGTCTGGAACCAGCTGGCGGGGGCAGTTTTCATGTCAAGGTGGACCTCTTCTACACAAGCGTCCCCACACTGAAAGAGGGAGTCGTCTGGGGAGTTACCGCCCTGACCTCTGGGAACTCTGGCCTCTGGGGTGAAGGGCAGCCATCTTGTCAAAGCGACAGAATGGAGCACAGCCCAAGAAAATATCTGTCGCAACACCAAAAAGCGATGGGCTCCCCACCAGGTTCTGCTCTCAGCCTTGCACTCTTAAATATTTGCCCCGCGAGAGCAGGACATTCAGGAGGAGGTGTTCCACCCCGAACGACATCTTTGAATGACCGAGAATGGGGCGCTTCTAGTTTGAGGACTCTGACTGTCCCATGGAGGCCCCGCTCCCAGAATTCAGCTACGAAGGGGAGGCAGAGGCTGCCTCGGGTGCTGCGCTGGAAGGCCGCGGGGGTCTTCGGAAAGAAAACGCCTGAACTGAGGCTGTGGACTTGTACGAGGTGTCCCATCTCGGGGGTGTTACCTCCCGAGTCCCAAGTCTGGGGCAGGGAGGAGTGTGCACACCCTTTTCTGACCCTCTAGCCTCCTTTTCCAGAGCAGCCAAGACACCTAAAGCCCACTCTCTTAGAGCCCATTTCTCCAATGGCGCAGTTACCTAAAAACATGTATCTCTATCACTTTTACAGCATTTCCCACGGAGAGCTCAATTCCAACCCTTTTCGAGAAGTTTAGCTATTTCATTCTGTTAATCATTTTAAAGCTAATTAAAGGGGAGTGCCTCTAGACATATTGTTCAAAATTCTAAAAATGCACAAAAGTAGACCAAGCTTTTAAAATACATATAGGCAGAAAAGACAGTTAACAGAGTGGCTTTAGTTAACATTGATGGCTTTTGCATCGGTCACGTGGCTTATAAAATGCCGTTTAAGCATGATTTCTGGTGTGACTTTTTAGTCATCAGGTTATTAGGAGAATTGATGTTGGGAGAGCTGCCTCTAGAGTAGATTCCACTTCTCTTTCTCTTTTTCTTGCTTTCCTTTCTGTGTCCCCTTTTCGTTTATTTTATAGGCTTCCGCCCTCCATATTTATTCTTTCTATTTCTTCCCCACTCCTGTCCTCTTTTCCCTCTCTCCCTCTCCTCACCTTCTCCACTCCCCATAGCTAGTTAGTTGCCTTCCACCGCCTTTCTCAGTCCGAGGTGCCCTCGAGTCCCCATTTCTTGTCCGATTTTGTAATCTGAGGCAAGGACCCCCTACAGGCATCTTCTGGTCTGGGCACCTAGCTGGGCACAGTGGAGAGAGGAGTCTGGCATAGCCCCTGGCCTCCTGAAGCTCACAGTTCCAGTGGGAGATCACTGCTGATGAAATGCGAGCGAAGGTGGCCAGAGCTGTGGGCAGAGAGTCTAGCACATTCCAACGCCTCTGCTGCCACATTCTCCTCCCTTTCCCAGACCTGCAGAAAGGAACAAAGCTGAGTGCATCCATCTTACCTCTGGGCCTGTGTCTTTCGTCCCGTCTGTGTCTGCCTCTCGCACAGGTGTGCCTGTGTTAGGGCTGGCACCTCTGCTACCGGGAGCCCACTGGGGAGAGGGCTTGTCACTCCCGCAGAGACGCGCTTAATCGGAGAAACAGGAAGCTGGGTAGTGAGGTTTCTTCCTCCACATCTCAGACAGTCCCAACGTCACCATCTGGGGCAGGGGTCCCCACCCCCTGCCTGTTAGGAAAAATGTTAAAGTGAAAATACCAAAGTCAAGGGGAAAAAGTCAGTCAAAGCATAACCAGGCTGGAGACCAAAGCATCACTGTGCTTCTTGCTGGGCAGCAAGAAAAAGCGTCACTGCACTTTTTTGTTGGGTGGCAAGAAAAACATCGTGTCAGTGATACTGCAACCTGGCCTGGGCTTCAAGGAAAGAGGTGGGAGGTGAGGACAGGGCAGGACACTGGAGAGCTGCTTGCTCCCGGGCCCTGAGGACGTGTGTTCACGAGTAGGCACCAGAGGTATCGTGAATGGCCCAGTGTGGCAGAAAGGGCCTGGGTGGAGAGAAGGACGTCTTTCTGAGGCACCCAGAGGGGCCAGGGACCAGACTCATTCCCTCTGGGCCTTCATCTTTGCCAACCGTCAGGTGTCTGTCTCTAGCCCACATCTCTCAGGAGCTCCAGGTGTGCATACCCATCTGCCCCTCGGACATCTCCACCTGGATGTTCACCAGGCATAGCAAATTCAACCTGTTCCAAACCAAACTCACCATCTGCATACTGCTACCCTCTGGTAACCTAAAAATAAAAAGCCTTTCAAAGCGAGAGGCAACAAGCATGTATTTGGGATCAGAATAGCTATTTGAAAAGTGTTGATTTTGACAGAAGCCCAAATAATGTTCCAATCAGGAGATAAAGACAAGGGGTATTTATAAGAAAGAGAAGGTGAAAAATTACATCAGTGGAAGGAAGGCATTTCTATTGGTGCAGACAACATACCATAGTGATGTTTATTCTAAAGAATGATTTTAATTTTCAATCCAGGAGCTACCAGTCCAATAACCTTAATATCTGCTTTTGTGTTATCCTTGCAAACAGTTCTTTGGGACACAATGTTGCTTTAGGCCCTCCCGTTCCAAATGTTATTTTCCCCTGTTTTAACATTCCAGAGGTTTGAGGCATAAGACGGGCATAGTTCCTCTGGCACAACAGCTCCGGCTCCATTTTAAATGAGCTGCATTTAGTTCTTCCCAGCCGGCTCTGAGACACCGGCATCTCTCAGGACAACTGGCACAAGCACCGCAACACTGGGGGCTACAGCAAGCCCCACCGCAAGAAGCGAAATTATGAGCTGGGACACCCTGCTGCCGGCTCTCAGATTGGCCCCTGCCACGTGGACACAGTCCACGTGCTAAGATTGGCCCTGTGGCACACACACACAGTCCACGTACAGGGAGGCAGCAAGAAGTACCAGGCCTTGAGGCAGGACGTGGGCAGCTTGGGGCTCAAGGTGTTGCACGCACAAAATAAGGATTATCTCTGTTGTTGGCAACGCATCCCATGACAAGCTGGTCTGCACCAAGCCCCTGGTAAAGAACTGCACTGTGCTCATTGACGGCACTGAGGACAGAAAGTGGTGCAAGTCCCACTGTGCCCTGCCCCTGGGCCGAGAGAAGGGGGCCAAGCTGACTTCTGAGGAGAAAGAAAATTTAAAGGAGAAACAACCACAGGTGATAATTCAGAAGACTGCCAAAATCAGCAGTTTTCTAGAGGAGCAATTCCAGTGGAGCAAGCTGCCTGTGCGCATCACTCCAAGACCAGGCCAGTGCGGCCGAGCAGATGGCTCTGTGCCGGAGGGCAGGGAGCTGGGGCTGGAGCTGAGGAAAATCAAGACCCAGAACAGCAAATGAATGCTCCTCCCTCCCATCTCAGCTTATGTAATAAAGGTGCCTAATATTCAAATAAATAAATAAACTGACTTCAGTTATTGTTTCTTTAATATTTTAAGTTTTTATTTATTTCTTATTTTTTTAAAAAGACTTTATTTAACTTTTAGACAAAGGGGAAGGGAGGGAGAAAGAGAGGGAGAGAAACATCAATGTGTGGTTGCCTCTCATGTGCCCCCTACTGGGGACCTGGCCCACAACCCAGGCACGTGCCCAGATTGGAATTGAACCAGCGACCCTTGGATTCTCAGGCCAGCACTCAATTCACTGAATCACACCAACCAGGGCAGTTATTATTGTTTTATACCTGCAATCCTACTTCTCCTTAAAGTCTCCCACTCAGTAAAGGCTTTCCCATCCACCAAGCTGCTCAAGCCTAATAAACTGGACACCTTTGACTTCTTCACCCAGCCCCTCCAGTGTGTTTATTTACCAGTTCCCATGGATGCTGCCCTCTAAATAGCTCTGAGGCCCAGTGGGGTCATTCTGCCCCACTGCCACCATTCCCATCCAAGGTGCCATTATCATCTTTTGCCTGGAGAGTCACACCTGCCTCCTCATGGTCTCCTGGCCTCTCCATTCTTCTTCCTCCAGGACAACTTCTGCACAGCAGCCTGAATTTAAATATGCACATGTAATCATGCCATTCCTCTACTATGAGAAAAGAAAGTGGCTAGTTCAGCTTGCAACTCCAATAATTAATACAGTGTTTCCACTTGAAACAACCACCATGCTTCCTTTGCAGCAAAGGGCTTCTCTCACTTCACAACATTTCACAACAAACGAGCAGTGCCGTATCTCATTCCATAACAGCGTAGTCAAGGGTTGAATTTTAATAGAACTGATATTTACTGCTTCATCAAGGGCATTCTTAAGTGAAACTGGCATTAATTTCCTTTTTTTTTTAACCGCAAGTGCCTGGCGGTGAAGAATACAATGTCTATAGTATGATTTGGCTCCACTGCTGAGATCTGTGCTAAGGCAGCAAACCCTCTACCCCAGACTGCTTTTGCAACATCACTGCAATCTCAACATGCATATTTTATTTTTATGAAAATAAGAGGACCTCGCAAACCCCCGATAGGGGCTCAGGGACCCCTATGGGCCACACTTTGAGAACCACTAATCTAGAAAATTTTCCTTCATTATTCAGATCTTAACTATCTGTGCAGACCTTCACTGTCCCCAAAGTCTGTTGTCTTTTCTTTTCTTCCTTAGTAATGCCCTCAATTTTAAGGGAGCTCGTGGCTGCCCAGATTTATACTTCCCAGCCTCCTTTGCTGCTGGATGTGGCTAAATGACTATTTCAGTTAATGAATATAAGTGAAAATTCAGGAGCACCACTTAAGGAGCATCCTTAAAAGGAGGGTGTGTGTCCTTCAAGGGGGGAATGTGTCCTTCCTCAGGCCTCCATCCTCTTACTGCAGCTGCAATGCAAACACCCTCCCACCTTATGTCTCATTCACATTACCTAGCAAGCTCCTGTGAGCATTTATTTAAGTTTGTAACCCCTGGTCCTCTATTCATTCATGTATTCAACAGTGTCTACCAGACCCAAGGTACTCTGCTGTGTGCTAGGGATGTTAAATAAGCTAGACGTGGTCACTGTTCTGGCCTGTGATGCAGACACTAAACATTTAATAATTTCATTACAATCAAACAAGGGCTACAAAGGGAGAAGTGCAGGGTGTTGGGAGAGCTTATCATAGTGAACTTTATCTCAACTTGGAGACTGAGAAAGGTCTCCATGGAAGTGTGCATCAGTAATCACTGGGCTTTGCTGCCAGAAAATTCAACATGATAGAGGCTTGCATGAGACTGAAGTTGATTTCTCACCTGAAAGAAGTCTGAAGGCAGGTGGTTCAGAGGAGAGGGAGGTGAGGGGGCTCTCTATTGTACCCCAGAGGCTGGCTTTGGGATCTACCATCCTCCACCCATGACCCACCCCCACCTGCCCCTCCATAGCCTGAGAAGGCTCCTCGGGCTCCTCAGATGAAATCAGGGCCCCGTATGGTAAGACCTCCCAATGCCTCGTGCTGCTTTTCCTCTGGAAGCACGACTCCAAGTGCGGTGATTATGGAATTGGTGACTGCTCAGTCTCTGTCTTAGACTGGAGTGGTGACCATGTCTGTCTCAGTTGGCTCCCGGTAGAGTGCCTTGGGCATGGTAGACCCTTAATACTTGGAAAACCTTTTTTTTAATTAAATTTTATTGATATTTATTGATATTAAAAATGGTTGCGGTATGTACATCCCACCATAAAATGTACCATTCTAACCAATTTTAAGTGTATAGCCTATGGCATTAGTACATTCCCATAGCTGAGCAACCATCACCACCATCCATCTCCGGAACTTCTCTTCTTTCCCGGCTGAAACTCTGAACCGGTTAAACGCTGACTGCGCCTGCCCCTCGCCCCAGCCCCTGACTGTTGAATAGGGGGATGAATGGAGAGGGAGTAGACCAGGTCACAAACTTAAATGCCTACAGGAGCCTGCTACGAAATATAAATGAGAAAATCAGCCTGTCTGTGAACAAAAGGGAGGGGGGGGGGACTGAGGTAGGACAGCTGCTGATCACAGAGCTGCAGCTGAGCTGATAGTAGACCCGGTACCAGAGTGTGAACTCTGCCAGAGTTGCCAGCTCTGCCATAATTTCAAGAGAAGATGAAAAACCAGACATTTATGTAGTATCTCCTCATTTTACTGTTGGCAACTAATTTTTTTGTTGTTGTTCTAACACTGGGAAAATCAAACAAAGCATTCCAAGGGCTGGGTATAGCTCAGGGCCCACTGTAGCACCAGTGAACTCTTGGGTCTGTGACCTATGAACATCATGAAGATGGGCTCCTGCGAGTCAACAGGCTCCAAGAACCTGGCTTTCTCTCTCTGGGATTTCCAAAGAGGAAAACAAAAGAGGAAGAGAGAGCAAGTTTATACTGAACATTTAGCAGAGCTGTGTGCTTTATATGGCTGTGCGTTCTAGTTCATCTTCACAACAGTGATAGGGCATAAACATTATTCTCCAGATCATACCGATAAAGATACTGAGGCTTAAAGAGTTTAAGAAAAGTGCTAAAGGTCAGAGCTAGTGGTGGAAGGTCAGTTCCACCATAACTGGAGGAACTGGGATTTGAACTCCTGCCTGGACCGGAATGCTTGGATTGCCCCCCTCACCCCACTTCCTCTCCTCTGCATTCAGGAAGGCTAAGATGATGACTGAGAGTGGACTTCTCCCGTAGCGGTGCAGGGGTATAAGGCCGACAGCCCATCTGGGGCTTCTGAGGCTTAGCACCACCGCTGTCCTGCATATCTACAGAGTGATTTTCCACTTTCAAAGCACTTTCATATACACTAGCATGACATTTTATAAATATTTGGTAGGGATTACTATCCTCATTTTGCAGAAGAAGGAACTGAAGTTAAGCTATCTGCCTCATAACAGGACTGCGAGCATGGAGCACGGGGATTTCCAGAAGTCTCCTGTTCCTGGTAGAGAGCTATTTTTGCTGCATGGATGCTGTCTCCAGATTGGAGGACAGGGAGAAAGTCAAGTGGTGAGGAACAGAGGGGAAGCAGATGGAAACCAGCATCCAGGCTGACAAAGTGTTGCAGGCTGGGCTACTGGAGAAGGGGCGGGGCTGCCTGTGGGAGCCTGGGGGAGGGAAGTTGGAAGCCCCAGGTGCAGTCCTGTGGTGGCCTCCTTACCAGAAACATCTGCAGCTGCACTGACACCCTCTGCGAAGGGGGTTGGGGGCAGGACTTGGAGATGGGGGTGTGGGGGAGGGGCCCCAGAGCCTGTTCTCCGGGAAGTAGACAGACTCAGAGAGGGCTGGCCTACCTCCACCCTGGCCACATTCTCCCTAACTCCACGACCACCTTCTGTGACTCTGAGAAGTTGATTCCTGGGCCTCCCGCACCCCATGGGAGCTATGAACAGGCAAATTTCAGAGCCCAGCTTAGGCTCAGCCAGCTGGCACCTGCAGCCTGTTGGATAAACTGTCAGCCACAGAGTGAAGCAAGCAGAACCCATCCCCACCCCAACCTTCAAAGGGCAAACTCCATCTTGGGGGGGGGGGCAGCAGGGAAACCTAAGCTCCTTACTTGCCTCCTTCCTGGAAGGGATGGCAGCAAGGACCCAGGCCTGAACTCTAACACCTCTGTCTGGTGTGAGGAGACAGAGCACAGAAATTTCTGGGCCTGCCATGCACCATAAGGACAAGAAGACCAAGGTCAGGGGAGGGAGACCACAGGTCTGGATGATCGCAGCATGGCCTCTTGCCTGACACACTTGACTTGGCAAGGCTCTGAACTCATTTGTCCTCCAGAACTTGTGGGCAGTGGACGTGGGGGGAGGCTGTCAGGTCCATGCAGGGCTAGGGGTAGAGGTACTCAGGGACACCTCTCCCTTCTGGCAGCCTCGGTCTTTCAGGCACTGCTCCCCCTATGTAGGCAAATGGATGCAGAATGACTCCCAGTGATTCCTGTCTCCTTCGGTTTACAGCCTTCTGTTGTCCCCTCCCACATTGTGCCAGCATTGGTCTGTGTGACCAGTAGACTAGGGCAGAAAGGAAGATATGTGACTTTCCAGATTAGGTTACAAAAATATGGGCCCTGGCTGGTGTGGCTCAGTGGATTGAGTGCTAGCCTGGGAACCAAAGGGTCACTGGTTTGATTCCCAGTCAGGGCACATGCCTGGGTTGCGGCCCATATCCCTAGTTGGGGGTGTGGGAAGGCAACCATACACTGATGTTTCTCTCCCTCTCTTTCCCTCTCTCTAAAAAATAAATAAATAAAATCTAAAAAAAAAAAAAGAACATGGCCGCTTTGGTCTTGGCCCCTCCCTTGCCACTCCCACTGGGGGAGCTCAGTTGCTCAGTCAGGACCAGCCCAGCCAGAGGCCCACGTGGGGCAGAGCTGACGCCTCTGGCCAGCAGCCACCTGAGGATCCTTCTTGGAAGCAGG